ACTTACTTCGTCCGACGGAGCCTTGAATTTAATTAAAAATCAATTAAATTTTTCTGGAAGAATTTCGCGATGTTTGTTCTACATGATTGCGATGTATATTTTAAATAATGCGTTAAAATGTATCGCGGAAATAAGAATGTACACAAAAGAAGAAAAACTTAATTGTGGACCTATAAATTGCCTTTGAACGTGTTACTATTTATGAAACGACTGCTTGCTCTTCCTGAGAAGATTACGCTAAACCAAGAGTCCTTTTTTCACAGACGAAAACACCTATTGATGTAATCGCTTTAGCTACGGATTGGGAAACGTTGATTCTCGTGAGGAACACGCGACAATAATAATGCTATTTTGTCCAATGACATTGCAACCATTCAAAATTATTCGATTACAGTACTTCCGTCGATATAACGAAACTTTAAGTCACTTGTGCTCGACGTGACAAAATAAAATCCATCGATTTCAAAAGCATTTTCATTTGAGCAACCATCATCGCAGCGTTGTTAAGCAAAAGAATATAAACATATTTTTCTAATCTCCGTAATTTTCGTACAACCTACAAACATCGCGTTCGAAAGTGTTTCGGGCAGAAGTGAATCAAAGAGAAAGTGCAACACGATTTGCACTACGGTCTTAACAAAATGTTTTATTATTGTCGTTGTTTGTTTTGATCGCATATCGAGCAGTGTACATTTTCATGTGACTCATGGGCGCTCATTGAACATTACTTCCCATTTTGCACAAATGTTATCCCCGTGAACGTACTTAATCACCGACCAGTATCGTTTCATCCGATTGCCGACTTCAAACATTTCCCGGCCAGGAATGGGCAGAAATTTTGTTTCGCCGATAAATGATAAACGAAAATCGGTCAATGAGAGCGTTCCCGTTCAAAATGTAACATTATTTTAACTTAAACTGGAATTTTTGTTTTGTACAGTGGCCAAAAACACTCATTTCCTTCGTCCATTATTCGCAGCGTTCTGCGTAGATAAAATTGTTGCCCATTTCCGTTCACGACGCATCCGAGGTATCCGTTACCGATTCGATCGATAGGTTAACCCTTTGCGGTCCAATGCGTTTTCTCTGTTTCCCGTCGTGCGTGAATTCCAACGAAACGCCTGACGCATTCAATTAATGTGCGTCTCTATGTACGTACACTCGAACGAACAATTTGTTACTATTTTTACTGCGTATAATTAACTTTTAACCTCCCATCCTATGATTTCTTTTGCAACTGTGCTCGATGAAACCACTTTATCGTTAATAATTTGTAAGGAAAAGAAGGGAATTTGATACTTGTCTGCGTTTGCTCTGAGGGTTAATCATACATAATAGAAAATTAATATTTAATTTATGTGAAAGACAAAAGTAAATAATAGGTTTCTCGAATTTGGTTTAAAATTCTGATCACGAGTCTGACACGATATTATAGGACAAGGGATTAACAAATACACTTTGATTCAGAAATAAAACGAAGCATGGCAAAGTAAGTACATACGATCGTAGAAATTAATTTATCGTAGCACCGCGTGCAGTTCTTTTCACCGTTTCCGTGCGTGTCGCGGTCATAACCTTCTATCGAATCAGCTGAAAAATATTATCGTATCGGTAGTATGTATACATACGGTGAAATTAATGGAGAAAATAAGCAACCGAAAAGGAGCAATCTCGATCGAATCGATTACAATCCGAAGATTAATGCAGCAGGGGGATAGTTTCACGATGTTCGTCATTTTGCGAATACCACGAGAATAAATACGAAACGCATGGAATGTATATACATATATATAAATATACAGTTACTTTGAGAAATTGTGTGTGCGCGCCGGCAACAAGAACAGATTTATTAGTAGAGTGTCCACGTTCTAAATAAATCACTTTTGTCTCTGTTAAAGGAAACGATACCTATTCCGAACATATACAGAACTTTCCAATATAGAGTATATATTAATTTGCGAATAATAAATGCCCTAAGTGTAGCTAGTAACGACCTAAAGAATTTTTTACATGACAAACTGAGAAAACAAATATTTCTAACATCTCTGTACAAGAACATGAGACTAATCGTTTAGAAATAAAAGATCAATTTTCTGTGTTTATTGATATCAAGGAGGAAACCATTACTGCGTTCTTCTTACTACCTTTCCAGAAACATGATCCGCGTTTCAACGGACTTGAAACCCCCGATTCTTTCGATCGCTTCAACATTTTTTTCTTGTTGGTACATGCACGCTCAGTTTTGTGGGTAACTGTATCCTCGTCCACGCACATTACCGCAATAATCAATCAATATTTTATATTCCTCCCTGTGAAGACGAAGATTTGTCCGTTTCAGCCCGTTACGAACCCGCGAACCGATCCCCGATCGCTATTTTTCTAAGTCTGCCGTTAACCGACTTCGTTTATAAGGTCCGAAGGCCACTGAATGCGTCAAAGGTCTCAGCGTAAAATCATCATTTGCAACGAACCGCGATATGATGGCGGAAACAGTTCGCAGAATATAGAAAACGCGTAACGGACGACGTTTGTCGACGACAAAGACTCGACCATTTGGGTGCAGAAGACCGACATCATGCTCCTCCTGAACCGGAAACGGGGTAAAGCGTGGCAAACGCTTTCCTCAAGTTCCCATTTGTGCGAAACAGCTGTTGAACGCAGCTATATATCGCTAATATCGCACGTCCAGCAGTTGTCTTTCTCGTCGAGACAAAACAAATCGTTCGTGATTCACTGTTATTCGATCGGTATCAGTTAATAAACTTTTTAAATAGTGTTAAAATATAAAGTTACCATTTTCTTTCTTTCATCGAACCCTTCATCTCACCAAACTCCTTTACGCCTTGCCTCCCTGCACTCAAATGGCTCGATAAATAAGCACGAATTAGTTATCGTACTTACCGATAAACATTGCGAGTCTTCAATTTTGAATTTGCTGAAACATTAGCGAATACACATTGGATCTATAATTTTCCAAAACAATATTAATTCTGATCTTACGTTACACATTGTACACACACACGCGCGCGTGCGCGCGCACACGCACATTTTATCAAATTCAGACTAAATTTATGAATTTCTTAAAACGTCGTTGAACGCTTCATATTATCACATTACGTGCGTTTGTAGTGCAAATGCCGAAATTCGACAAACACGGCAAAATGAATGCTTTCGCAGGGAATTTAATGAGATTTTCACTTTATTTTCTTAACAGAAGGAATAACCTTCGAATCGATACTCATTTACATAAAGTAATATATTTGCATAAAAAAATCTATAGTCTAACAGTGAATATGAAACTGTTCAAGTCCATTAAAATTATTTCTTCATAGAATGATTGATTTCTTTCACTTGTCGAGTAAACAGCTCATACTCAAGACGAATGACTAACTTTCTTCACCGAAATGTTTTCACTATTCTAAATAATAGGAATAATATAGATTATTACACAATGTCTACGCTTTTATTTCATTTAAACAAGTTATTTCCTCTATAGTAAAATTTTATCCATAACAATCTAATTTTATTCACTGAGAACGATAAAATCCCGTAGTTTTATTTTTCTCCTAATATTTAGAGTAGCAAAATATCTTAGGTGAACTGAGTTAATACACTATTATTTTACACAAATGTTTTGCAGTAAGAAGTAAACGAATCCAGGTGTTTTGAGTACAATTAAAGCAAATCGCAATAATTCCTATTTAAAACTGAAACGCGTACATCGTACATGTAAGACACAATCAGCTTTAGAGCGTTAGCATATGTAAATGGATTAAAGTTGTGTGTATCATATTAGAAAATTTTGTAGAAAATTAGGTGACATCAAATTTCTCAAACGTTGATAATTGTAACTTTCATTCTGTTTTATCCTTCCTCGACTGTATCGCATTAGAGTAATAATGAGATTTGACGAAATAACATTATTTTATGTCACTGATAGCGACAATGATACCTTAACACAATTACTAAATATTTCTATTTCAATTTATTTTGGAAATTAAAAGAATATGTAATAATTTTTAACAATGTTTTGAACCAGGCCTAGATAACTCTGATACAACAAGTTTCAGAAATAAATTCTATCTTATTTAAGTAGTTAATAAATAAAGTGAAATTACTTTACTTTAATTCCTAGTTTTGATGTGCCAAATGAAGAAATTTATTTTCATCTTTGAAATAATCTTTTAAATACACTAAAGGATAATAACCGGTATAAAAAATTAAACCGATATTCAGTAAAATTGAAAATACAAATACAAATATTTTACGTGTCTACATATTGATCTGTATTTTTTAGTTCTGTGTTTGTAATAGCATGATGAAAATTATCTTGCGTATTTTGCATTTCCAAACATACTTTAATTAAAAGGGATAACGTATTCGAAATTCTAGGGTACCATGCAGGTATTCCTATTAAGATACTCATGCTATCTGGATGCCATCAAGAATTGTATACAGTAAAAACATACACACATAATATTTGCTATTGTACAAATAATTGGGTTATCATTTGTTTTTAAAGTCATTTCACATATGAAATATTTAGTAAGTATCTATTTGACTATTAATAGAAACATTTTATTCAGATAATATGAGTATCCCCTATTTAGAATTCTCAACTATAAGATTTATGTATCTAGAGTTACTTAATCTAATGATTGAACAATAATTATAAGAATTTAATATTATAATTTTGGCTATGAAATGCTTTCTTCTATTATTTTTATATCTAAGATTATAAATTCCACTTCAAATACACCTAATTATTTTGAAAATAATCTGTAACTTACTTTTCTTACAGAAATGTTAAATATAACAGAGGAATAAATGACTTACAAATACTTTAAAGGATGCTGTAAATAGAAAAATAGAATATTAATAGAAAATGAAAGTTTGAAAATAAAAAAGGTAGAAGGAATTGAGAAATGGTAATAAGTAACATGTAAATTTCTGAAAATTGGCAAATAAGCATTTATCTAATGATTTTTTTTATTTGTACATCCTATTTTATAAAAATTACTAAATACATCATGAGTTCAAATTGCCATCAAGTACCATTTGAAGTTCTTCTATATATGGTATATTTTCTTGTCTATCTAATATCAGTTTTTCTATTTTTGGTGGTAAATTAAGACCAATCAATGCAGATACTGCACTCCTCTTACATGTCCCAGCATCTTTCCGCTTCTTACGCTGTCCTTTCTTAGCTCTTTTTATTCTTTGTTCAGACATATGCAACTTGTGAATGTGATCCGCTAATCTGGCTTTTGAAGAAATTTCTACTTTACATATGTCACATTGAAATTTTTGTCCCAAATGATTTATTCGTATGTGTGTGTCCAAGTTACTTTTAAAGTAATATACTCGGGGACACTCATTGTATGGACAAGGAATTACCACTCTATTATCCATGTGCACTTTAGAATGTGCTTTCAAATGGTTCTTTTTCAAAAATACTTTATCACAGTCCTTGCACTTATGATCTACAATATTAATCAAAGAAATTGGTTGTTATTAAAAGTTTTAATAATTTTTTAAGTAAAGTTATATATAAACAAGTTACATTATTGAATACGTACAAATTACATGCTGTGTTTTTAAATGAGCATGAAACAGATGCCACTTTATAAAAATTTCAGTGCATCCTTCTACAGTGCAAGGAAAAGTTTTTATTCCTTCACTATGACTTGCACAGTGTCTCTTATACTTTCTAATATTTGTAAAACTTTTATTACATTGGTCACACTTATGTAATTCTCCAGTGTGCATTGACATATGTGCAGCAAGTTGATACTTTTTAGTAAATGTTTCATTACATTGTTTACAAGTCAATTTACCATTATCCCCATGCATCAAATTATAATGACGTTTCAAATTGTGTCGATTACTAATAGATATCAGACATACAGGGCATCTAGAAGAAAACTAAAATAAAATATATTTTATTTAAACACAAAATCTGAAAGACTATATAAAGTTCTTCTTACTGATATGTCTTCTTCACGGAACTGTGGGTTTCCATATGACGTTTTAAATGAGAAGAATTCGTATAAGCTTTGTCACATCCTGGACGATTACATTTATAGCTTCTCTGAAAAGATATAGGTATAAACAGAATTAAAAATTTAAAGAGATATAAAAATTACATACCTCTCCAGTATGAAACCTAATATGTCTTGCTAATCTTGATGGCCTAGCAAAAGTTTTATCACACCCTTGGAAACTGCATTTGTACTTTTTTTCATTTTTTTTTAACTCAATGCATGAAACATTTGTATCTCCCATTACATTATGATTTTCAGATTCAGAAATAACACTATCCGATTCAGAATTCTTATCTTTTCCCATTATGTCTCAAATTTTATTGTCCTAAATAAAATAAAAGACTAATAGCGTTATATATGACAATATAATATTTTAATTATTATTAAATTAAAAATTTTAATCAAAAATTCTTTCAAACATTATAAATGCATCCTGATATGAAATATAAATAATACATTAACCTTTTGTAATTACTGCCAACTATTTCTACCATTTTGACTTAGAATCACAATATCACTGAATATAACTATTCAATTACTACGTTTTTTACTTACTTATTTAAATTTTAGTGATAAACTACTTTATATAAACTATTTGTCCGTTGTTTATTATATTTGGCATAAACTCGTTAAGCACGTGTCGAGCATCAGCTGTTTGACCACGCCGTTGGTCACGAAACCCTTTTTTAATTGGTCATATCAAATCAATGAATCGTGATAGTTGATCAGCTGTTGATACATTTTAGAAGAATCACTTTTTTCCGAGTATGTTTTGCGATACAATTGACAGTAAACGTTTGCATGGTTAAATATGGAACGTACGGAATAAAATTTTAATGTTATCGAAGTTATACGATTTTGTGCATTTTACAAAAAACTTTGTGAATCGAATATTAGATAAGGAGGTTATACTTGCCTATGTTCGTTTGACAGCACACGAAGGTGAGATCGGATGCCAAATTAAGATCACATAAATAGATCAAGAGCTAATGATAGATTATAATACACTATATATAAGAGAAAACATTTTCAAAGGATAATTCCATAATTTTGTATAGTGGAAGATGCGATGCGTATGAAATTCTCCAGGAGGTTAGATAATCATCAATGTTTGACATTAAATTTTAATTTCTTGTATTTTGTTCATGTACGTACAGAAATTTTATGTATAATACGTGCAACTGCATTATTCTAATCTCTATTTTAATAACAGTGGAAAACTAAATTGAGTGTTAACTATGTCAATGGCAAATTAGCACTTGTGTTCTGAAAATAGATTTAATAAATTTGATTAAAAGAAAATGATTATAAAATTAGAAATGAAAATAAATCTACGATTGGATGAAAGCTTTATAAATTAAAGTTAATACAAATATAAACAGTGTTTTATATTTGAAAAAGCTCTACTGCATTGTATCTGTCACTCTTGCTATTAAATTCTATGAACAGAACTTAAGAAATGTTATTATTTCTTAGTCCAAGGAAATTTATTTGCGTTTAAAAGTTAATATTCTTAAAAAAAATCTTGGCAATGAGTTATCTATCCACAGTCATTGTTATTTTAATTCTCTTAAGTTTCACTTGTAATATTAATATTGGATTTTATATTAGTGTAAATGGATAATATCATGTTATGAATGATATCAGAATCTTCAGGAACATAATGGGCCAAACACTCAGCGAACCGGTGACAACTAGAAAGTTAATATGCTGCAGAGATTCAAACTATCGAGTCGGCAGTGCATGTATGCAGGGCTGGCGTACTAAAATGGAGGACTGTCATGTACACATATTATCACTACCAGATGATCCTAGTGCCGCATTCTTTGCAGTGTACGATGGTCACGGAGGTGAGGACATATAATTAAAACTGAAAATTTTTAGACAAATAATTATATCAGAGTACATCCAGTGTAAAATAGCAACATCATTGAATTCTTAAAATTATACATAAAATAAATGGAATTTAAATGTATTAAAGAAATGTATTTTAAAGGAAAATTTTAGGTGATATTGTACCAAAAGTAAATTAAAACTTATAGTAAACAAATATAATTACTTTCATGTTCAGAGAAGTAACAGCTAATACCAATAGGTGCTGCGATAGCTCAACATGCTGGAAAATATCTTCACGAGTATATAACTAAAAGAAGTGAATATAAGGCTGGTAATATTGTTCAGGCTGTGCAACATGGTTTCCTTGAATTAGACGAAGCTATGTTGAACGATACAGTGCTTAGGGAGGAGCAAGCAGGAACCACTGTCATAGCTCTTCTTATTAAAGACAATTTTATATATAGCGTAAGTCTCCAACATATTACCATTTTACTATTACTATATTATTATCATAGTACTATTATCATTGTTCTTAACATATTGAGCGCTGGCCCCGCAATAATGCGGATTTCTGGATTTCTATTTCTGGATTTGACGAATATGCAATTAAAATGTACTATTTTATGAAAATGTATAATGTTTTGAATATTTTTTTTGGCTGCTCATTGATCAGATACAAGCGAATGAAGCCGGCGTTTGGGCTAAGTGGCCTCAGGCTTTAAATGTCTCTTAAGTCGCCGGTGCTCAATGTGTTAAGTTAAATTCCAGTTCTTTATTAAATACAACTAATTATATAGATAGACAATGGAAAATTAATATTATTATATGATTTTCTTAGGCAAATGCAGGTGATAGTAGAGCAGTAGCAAGTATTAATGGTCATGCAGTTCCTTTAAGTCGAGATCATAAACCTACATTAAAGGATGAGCGTGAACGAATTGAAGCTGCTGGTGGTTGGGTTGAATTTAACAGAGTTAATGGTCAGCTTGCCTTATCTCGTGCTCTTGGAGACTTTATGTTCAAAAGAAATGATCGCAAATCACCGCAAGAACAAATTGTGACTGGTAAAATGATATATTCATAAAAAACCATAATGTAAGTTTTCTGGAACAGTTATTTAAATTTTTTTTATCTACAGCGTTCCCTGAAATTCAACAGTTTCAAATAACAGAAGATTGGGAATTTGTTGTTTTGGCATGCGATGGTATCTGGGATGTAATGACATGTAGTGAAGTAGTCAATTTTGTAAGAACACGTTTAATGCAATCCAAATTGGGAACAGGACAAGAAAATGACACAATGGATCCCGAGGAAATTTGTGGAGAGCTAGTCAAACATTGTCTTGCACCAGATACTTTAATGGGTACTGGCTGTGACAATATGACAGTTATTATTGTTTGTTTCCTTCATGGGAAACCATATTCTCATTTTATTTCTCGATTCAAGGAAATCGATTGTACAAATCCTTAGTTAAATTGCTGATATCTCAACCCGATCATTTTTAAATTGACTTATATTTTATTTCACGCCAGGATAAAATGATTGTTTCATTCATTATAATTATAAAATTCTTAAGAGATTTTCCTATCTAAAAAAAAGTTGAACAAATATAATTTCCATCAAACTTAATACTTTGAGAACGTATTTATAAACCAAACAAGTATAAGAATAAATATAAAAAATTGAAATGTTTTATCAAAAGTAGGAAAAATATGTGAAAAGTAATTACTTTCTTAATTGTTAAGATAGGACAATCTTTTAAATACCTTCGGGCGTACTGAACTGTTAATATTTTATACACGTAATTCCGTGAATTTTATTTTTATTATTAGGGAACTTTGAAAAAAAGAGAAAATTGAAAATAAGCTGAATTATAAGCTTTTATTTACAATTTCGAACAGTGGACCAGAAATGTCCAAATATAAGTTTAATAACAATATTAGTAAAATGTAGTAGGTTGTTATTCAAATTCCACAGCGATCCTGTAGTGAAGAAACAGCCGCATTAGCTAGAGAGCTTATTTTATCCGCGACCTTGTTCACTCCTTGACGTACACTTTCTCTTACATCATCAAAGTCCACAACCCCGGATCTTCCATCGCTGAAACGCATTGACAAAGAAGACGTAGGAGATGTTGATGTAGAACTTCCTGTGCCAAAATAATCAGCCGATGAAATGCTAGATGAGCCTTCGAAACGACGTAAATTAGCTTTACGTTCCCACTGCAATTGAAATTGTGTGACATTTAATCTTAAGTATAACATAGATGTAGAAACATAAAATGTTATTATTAGATGATCGAACTCACAGAACCATCATCTTTGCTGTCTTGGAAATATTGATCCGAACTAATAGCCTTGGCACTACCGAATTTTCTTTGCGCTTCCGATTCCGGAGTTGTTGTTTTATTATCGTTTTTAATACTATTTGGTCGGTTTGAAGGACCTACTCGTTTCGGTGGTTCTGGTTCTGCTATTACAACAACTTCTTCGCTTCGAGATTTTTTACTATTATTGCTAATATATGGGACTGATAAGGCCTCGTAAAATTCATCTAAACTAATGAAAAGACTTCGTTCCACATCAAGAGTTCGCGACTCGGAAGTGGTTACAGTCTTCGACGACGACTCCTGTGTTATTGTCTGCATATCAGCAAGTGCAGAATGGCTGGCACCACTATAACGTATTTATTATACATACTAATTGTGTTAATGTTTTGTATTAATTTGTTGTTGCATAGTATTTCAGTTTTCTTGAAAAGTATTAATAGTAGTAATAAAAAGAAAGTTATACATGAAGTATGAACATTACCTTCGTGTGTTGAATCCCATACCAAGACGCTCTGCTTGTGTTGCTTTGGTTGGATCTAAATGTTTTGCTCTTTCCTCTACTTTTTTAGCATGTTCATTCAAATTCTGTTCATATTGATAAGCAAGACGAGTGGAAATTTCTTCTTGTTCTTCTTTATTTGTAGTTTCCTGCTGATCCTTTACTTGTGATTCTTTACTAGCTTCAGCCACACTTTTTTCTAACTCATCGAAATTTGTTTTTACTCTCTGAGCACCCAACCCTCCAGTTTTCTTTCCTAACTATGTTACAAAACATATATATATATATACATATATTGTCTGTTCACTAATATAATTAAATTGCAAATTAATCGATATAAGTAATAAATAAATACTGTGATATATACTTACACCAGGTTTTTTTATCTGAGCTTTTCTAACTCCTATAGTTGACTTCCTTTCTGGTATTGAACTTGATGTAGAGTCAGATAATTTAACTGTGGGTCCCAAGGAATTTGATCCTATTTCTGGTACAACTTTTTGATTATCTTTTTCTATATTATCGTTCGCTGACACAGAATTAGTAACAGACACTGAATTTTCTTCTATAAACGTTGAAGACTCATTTGAATTTAAATCAAAATTTTCGTGCTCTTTAAAGAAGTCAATTTCATTATGTTCCTCTAACATTGAAGCTGGATTTTCATCTAAATGCAACTAGAAGAAGATAGTGCTTTAACTTTCAAAACTGAAATGTAACATAACCGCTTTAAGATCATATTTCATTTTAACGTACACACATGTTAGGTGAGTTAAATACATAATACAAATACTTTTAAGTAATTTGTAGCTATAAGACAAACATGAAATAAAATATGCAGTATATAGTAAATACCAATATATAAAAACTGTGCAAATTTTGTACAATTGTTCAGAACAAGTAAAATGTGAAAAATAATGACATAAAGGCTAATTCTTTTCATAAAAATAAAAATGAAACAAATGTTAGTAATTTCATGATTTTGTCTTGCAAAAACATATTACAGCTCACCATTATTTTATTTTTTGGAGAAGGAAGAAAAACCTATAATTACCAAATTTATAATTGTAAAATATTTAATTAATTAAAGTATACGTTTTATGTAATATGTATATAGAGAAATTTTCTACATGATACCTTAGTTCCATAATGTCGCATTGCTTGGGTAGATGCTTGTGCCAACTTTTCTCTATACTGCATGGCAGCACGTGAATTGTACTTCTGCTGTGCATCAGTTGTTGTACAATTGTGTTGTGCAAAAAATTTTCTCTAAAATATGTAATCGAATTATTGAAATGATTAATTAAATAAAATATTTATTCCTTTTAAGAGCTATCTAAAACAAATAAATAGTTTTGACAAAAAACTAACAGCATTTGCATTTCCGCCAAGCTGCATATTTCTTAGTTGTGTCCATGTCCAATTTGTATCAAGTTGAGTGGATCGCACAAATGTTAAATGAACACCCAGTCCTCGATGGACTGCAGAGCAGTCGATACAAAGGAAAATACCATATGTCACACTGGCCCATGCTGGATTTTTTGCATTGCAATCGAAGCATGTCTAAAAGAGGGACAAATAACAAAAATATAATTTAATATATGTTGCAGAATAAATAACTTAGTACTCAGTTACAATGTAGACTTAATTAGCAACTATAATATTGTGATTTATAACAGTTTTCTGAAATATTTCTGAAACACAAATTAATAAAACGGCACTATCATATGTTCGACGAAGAAGCGAAAGTTCCATTAAATTACAGGTTGGAAACGAAATTAGGATGACGTCTTCAAAATTATTGTCAGTTGTATTCTCATCTATTTTACTATCATTTGATAACTTGATAATATAGGTCAAAGTGATAAATAAGTAAACAAACCTTATTTGTTGGAATGGCTCGCAATTTTTTGAAAATTTCCTCAATATCACTTTTGCTCGGTGTTGAATCTGCCATTTTTGACGTGTTGTCAACGGTCTCGTAGAGCATTATGGGACGCGTGGCGATAGTCAGTGTACTATACATAGAGGTCGCTTGCTTATTATTTAAAGTCAAAGATAGCTAGGAAATTAATAAACGTTAAAGTCGCCTTCACTACCTTAACAAATTAATCATTAATTCAATAAAATAAATTATTTATTTAGTTTAATATATTTATTAAATATTTGATAAGACATTAATTTACAAAACAGTTATGATATATTTTGTGATTTTTAATGATTTTATAAAAGATTTTCTTTTTAAAAAACATAAAGGTATTAAAGTTATAATTGTACAATTATCGAGTATATCAAGACTTTTTTTTGTCTAAAGATGTGTCGGATCGTTGTCCCGTATTCGGAGAATCACTTACATTTACTTCTTCTTCTTCCACTTCCAGGCTGTTTAATCTACAATTATAAATATTATAATATCAATGAGGCATAATATGATCACAATATTTTTCAACAAATCATATTATTACTAAGGGTGATAATTATACAAAAAATATAATACAACTTGATCAATCCGAAATTAGTGATTGATGTTACTTGTGTTTATAAATTTGTTTACAACGTTAGTTAATTTTATCGAACTATCAAGATTTTGATGATTTTAGTAAAAATACAAAATAAACATTAAGCATTGATAACTTACTCATCCTGCTCTAAACTATATAGCATTTGAAAACCAGCATCAAGACTTGGAGGAAAGCCCATTTCAGGATCTAATAATTGAAGCGTCGGAACTTCTCGATAGACATTACCGAATTCATCAAGTTCTTCAAACTGTAATTTGTTTGCTGCTTCATCTAATACCATCCTAAAAAGTAAGAGAACATTCACAGAGATAGAACGCTTCTTTTTTTCAATATATCATAGTTGTTTCGGTGAGATTAAATACTTAGAACTACAAGCATTAAGTTCAAGTTGCCTCTGTTTTTCCATCATTGTTTCAGCCTTCTTTTTCATGTTTTCTTCAAACTTTAAGACGTATTCTTGATAGTAGTCGTGAAGAGCAGCTACACCACCAACGCCAGTTTCCAATAAAACTCTTTCCACTATATCCTACAGGAATTGGTTATTAAGTAATACAATTATTCATTATGAAATGAAATAATATATTCATTAGTAGATCTTATCTTACAAGAAATTCGTGATCCCTTTGTTCGTATGCCACTTTCATTAAAAGAGTCATTCTTCGCAAAAAATGATCAGCGATATCTGTTAACGTTTCTATAGCTATATCTGATCCCTTTTCAAATCCAATGTGAGCCAGAAGAACAATAACAGCATGCCTTAATATAGCACGTGTTGTTTCTGGTGTGAGATAATGTACAGTGGATGAGTTTTTGAAACCAGTTCTAAAAGATTATTACATATTAATAAGTTTGCATATAATAAACAATATAAGCTATCCTGATACCGTTCTTTCTGCACAGGTAAAAATTGAAATGAAGTTTGTGTTTCTTTCACATCTGCTAATTCTTGTGACTCAATTGTAGTCATATTATTCAATACCATTCCTTCTTCCTAAAAATAAAATAAAATGTACGCATGATTATTATTGTTAGCAACTGAATTGTTGGCAACATTACCATCATTCGTAACTGTTGATGGAAATTTATAGTATTTAATACATGAAGATTTCCCACGGGTAATCTGCAAAACAAAACATTACATGTAGAAGATTCTAACGCTTTATTTTTAAACTTCAATAAACTTACTGTATGTAATCAGGTTGTCTTTCCATTTGATAATCACAATCGGTGTTATGTGACTCTTCCATAACTTGCCTCCAAATATTTTCTATGATATCTGGAGTGATTACTTCTTGCTTGAGAGTTTCCCTTGCTGGCAGCTCTCCCCATAATGAACCAGTCCCAATATTTTTTGCAGACTTCATAGTAACATCTATAATATTCAAATACCAATTAAAGAAGTTAAAAATAAATATCAAAAAAGGAAAATATAAATTTCATATTTTACATTATTTTTGGAAAGTAATAAAAAATATATTTTACATTGCAGTAAATCTTCTTTTTTACAATTATATATTTTTCAATACGCTCAAGGACTATGTTATTGTTTTATATCAGAAACATACCACATATACAAAAATAAATACAATAATAGAAAAGTGCTTCAATTAAAAATCCCGCGCATTCACATAAACGTAGAGCTCACACACTACGAAAAAAATCGTGGGACATTGTATTTTGTTTACAAGGTTGCTGTCAAAGAATTGTAAATTTTAGAGGCAGTATTTCAAATTTCACTATCTCAATCTCAAATTATTTAAAATAATACACTTAAAAGAAAAATTTTACGAATGAAATTAAAATTCGAAACGACATTGCGTCTTATTTTATTCACCCACAGGAAAGTCAAAATTACTGATTGTGTAAAAAGATCTCACATTTTGCTATAGAGTTTACGATTTGTAGTTTGGAATTTGAGAATTATATGTCACCGGAAAAAATTGAAATTGCTAGAATCAGCAGCGTAAAGAATATATTTTCCGAATTAAAATCACACTTACTTTAATGTATGTTATATGTGTCAAATTTCATGGTTAGAAAAAGATTACTCTCATGCCGCCATCCGTGGTAAACTGCTCAAACTTGTAGCGCCACCCCACAGACTTAACACTTGACTTCGCTAAATTAATTTAGCTTTATACGATAACTTGAATTATACATTAGATGCAGTTGTGAAGGGGGTGAATCAAGAAAGAAGTCTTTGATTCGAAAATGAGAGAAATCAAAAACGAAGTCCATGTTAGTCGATGCAATGCCTCATTTAACCGTTTGCATTCTATAATATTATAGGTACCTTGTGTTCGCGATGTGGTGTATTTTTTTATTCAATATATTATTTATTTACAATCTTCAATAAATTATAATGTTGAAATTTTATCAAACCTACTTCTATGATAGCTTGTTTCTTTCCGTCTATTTATAAAAAGAATATCTTTGATATTAACAAAAGAATTTAAAATGTATAGTTAAACGATTTCTAATAACAAACAGAAATTGACTTTATCTACAA